AATTAATTATTATATTTTTATTTTATTAGATAAAAAAAAAATTAAACCTACTAAAATTAAACAAAAAGGGCAAACAATTAAAGTAGACAGTAATTATAAATTTACTTTAATTTTTTATAAGTATGTGGTAATTTCTTCTCTTTAGATCTATTTTTGGCAAAAAATTGAGAGAAAAAACTCATGTGAATATAAGGCATTAACTATCAATATAATAGTATTTTTTATATTGTAATAATTATTGTTTTGGCTATTTTAGATAGTGATAAGTTTTATTTTTTTAAGTAATTTTTGTAAATTTGATAAATTTAAGTAATGCCATTTAAGACATATATTGTAATTATTATATAAAAAATTTATTTTAATTCTATCAACTATTTAATTAAAATACTTTACGTAATATTGATATTAAAAATAAAATTTATTTTTTTAATTTTTTTATATTAATTAATAATAAAAATATTTAATAAATACACTTTAAAGAAAAAAAATATTAATATAAATTTCTAATTTAATACCAACTCAGCATTGATGTAGGATACTACCTTATTGTCATATAAGCAATCGACCCTACCAAAAGTACATTATTATATGGTTGATTTGCAACCATATAATAAGTTAAGTAGTTGATTTGGGTCTATTCTTAGTTGAGGGGGCTGATTTGCCATCATTTACTGAGTACAAGGACTGATTTGCCTTTTGCTGTTTTTAAAGATTTGAGTTTTGCTGGATTGATTTCGGTGTACCAACCGCTACATAAAATATCGATCGGCACATAAAATACTGGCTGGCACACCAGAATTTGATCAAAAAGTTTGAAATTTGACCAAAACGGATTTTAAACCCATACTATTTCGGCTTTATTAAAAATCCAATATGTATCGACCATACCAACTGGTACGAAACGGATTTAATAACTTCGGTTTTAAGGCTTTTAACCCCCAACATACAACATAAGTATGTAAGCCCATGAACTGTGGGTCATTTAAACAATTGGACCAAAAAAATGGCAACATGTCATGCGACTCACGTGCAGTTTTGTATTCCGTCAATGATTGCTTCATCAACGCCACGCTGGACGGCTCCAGAAGCAACAATGGTCCACGCTGGCAAAAATTGCGGGAAATCTTCCCTCCTATTACAAAAAGGGACACAGCTAACTTTGACTAAGAAAAAAAAAAAACCGGCAAGGGCAAAATATATATTTTTTAATTATGGTAAAGAACAAAAGATTTTTTTGGTGTTAGAATAAAAGAATCTTTATTAAACCATATCACACAAAATAGTAACAAACAAAATTTTTTTTAATTATATATAGAGAATAGTATAAAGTAAGTTGTTTGTTAATTTTTTTTAAAAATTTACTTTTTAATTAATATTTTTTAAAATTAAATATTAAATTAAAAATTTTATTCATATAAATCATGTCTATTAATTTTTAGTAGTCTTAGTTTAATTTTTGAATTTTTGGATATGAATTTTAGACGAAAATTTAAAATATTGTATATATTATAATTGAATTTTTTTAATCAAATAAAAACATTTAACCAGAGTTTCATTAAAAAATAAAAAATTTCAGTTATTGTTCATATAAATTGTTAAATTTTTAATTGAAATTTATGTTTAAAAATTTAAAAGTCAAATTAGATCTATAAAAATAAATAAAGAAAATGTATAAATAAAATTTTTAATTCAATGATTAGTTTTCAAAAATATTAATTAAAAATAAAAATTTAAATAGATTCTTCTAAAAAAAATTTAAAAGGATCATCTGCAAAATATTTTTTTTCTTATATATATGTTGGGCTAAAACCTTAGAGACGACAAATTTAAAGGCACCTAAGACACTAAACCTCGACTAAACCTCTGCAAGTTAGTTGTGATGTGTTTGTTCCTACAGTTCCTCTATTGTGATGAAGAATGCCAGCCTAGTTGTATCAGTTCTTCTTTTTTTTTTTTTTTTTTTTCTTTTTTTTTTTAAACTGTTAAAGTGTTCTTAAATCAATTTTTTTTACTTCGAGATTAATCCCTTCCTAAACAATTTCAAAAGTGCATCCTGCATCAGCCTAGTGCACTCAGGAAAATAAATTTTCTTAAATGTTTATTCTAAAACTTGAATTTTAAACTTGACTCATAAAACAATATGTAGTTACTAATGAATTCAACTTTGGAGTTATCCATTCTATTTTTTTAACTTGTTAGTTTCATTTTGTTCAAAAATTAT